AAAAAGCAGGATATAATTTTCAAAATCACAAGAGACAATATGTATTTTAAGAAAATCTCAAAAGATATATTTATAATTTAATCTATTTAATATGTTGCACTTTTTTATTATAAATACAAAGACAAGACAAAACAAGGAAATTGATTTCAGTTATGTATATAAATAGTATAATATAATATGGTTTAATCTAAATAATAAAAAGAATAATCCACTCGCTACCACCTACCACCCCCCACCACCACTCACCCGCCACCCACCACCCACCGTCACTACTTTCCACCACTGTCTTCCGTCGCCACCACCCGCCACTTGCCACCACTTTTCACCATCATCTTCTACCACCACCACCCACCACCCACCGTCACTACTTTCCACCACTGTCTTCCGTCGCCACCACCCGCCACTTGCCACCACTTTTCACCATCATCTTCTACCACCACCACCCACCACCCACCGTCACTACTTTCCACCACTGTCTTCCGTCGCCACCACCCGCCACTTGCCACCACTTTTCACCATCATCTTCTACCACCACCACCCACCACCCACCGTCACTACTTTCCACCACTGTCTTCCGTCGCCACCACCCGCCACTTGCCACCACTTTTCACCATCATCTTCTACCACCACCACCCACCACCCACCGTCACTACTTTCCACCACTGTCTTCCGTCGCCACCACCCGCCACTTGCCACCACTTTTCACCATCATCTTCTACCACCACCACCCACCACCCACCGTCACTACTTTCCACCACTGTCTTCCGTCGCCACCACCCGCCACTTGCCACCACTTTTCACCATCATCTTCTACCACCACCACCCACCACCCACCGTCACTACTTTCCACCACTGTCTTCCGTCGCCACCACCCGCCACTTGCCACCACTTTTCACCATCATCTTCTACCACCACCACCCACCACCCACCGTCACTACTTTCCACCACTGTCTTCCGTCGCCACCACCCGCCACTTGCCACCACTTTTCACCATCATCTTCTACCACCACCACCCACCACCCACCGTCACTACTTTCCACCACTGTCTTCCGTCGCCACCACCCGCCACTTGCCACCACTTTTCACCATCATCTTCTACCACCACCACCCACCACCCACCGTCACTACTTTCCACCACTGTCTTCCGTCGCCACCACCCGCCACTTGCCACCACTTTTCACCATCATCTTCTACCACCACCACCCACCACCCACCGTCACTACTTTCCACCACTGTCTTCCGTCGCCACCCACTCGCCACTTGCCACCATTTTCCACCACCGTCTTCTACCATCATCACCCACCACCTGTTACCATTTTCCACCACCGTCTTCTGCCACCACCACTCGTCTCCACCCACCACCCGCCACCACTTGCCATTTCTCACTCTTTTTTATATTTTTATATTTTTTTATACATTTTGTCTGAACCAAACGCGTTTGTAGTTTATGTTTTTCTAAAAATAAACAAAAACTAATTTATGAAATTTTTATAAATATAAACTAAAAACATAAACATTACCACACAGGCTCTAATTAATAATAGAATTCAAGTTGGTCGGGTTACACGCGTTGAAAAAACTCCTGCCAAGGCCCATTCGGATTTAATTAAGATTAACAATTGATTTAATTCAGTTCTGTATAAATTTAAAATGGTATACTACACATATCTCTCGCGAAATTTAAAGAAAAAAAAAATTAATCTTACATTTTTGACAAAATTACATAAACTTTTCTTTTAATAAAATTAAAATGACCGAAACTAATGTAAATAATAGATAAATACTAAAATAAATATTAGTAGAAAATATGTGACAATATTATTTTTTTTATTTATATAATTAATGAATTATTGATGAAAAATAGTTTAATTGTTATGTGAATTAGAATATCATGAGAGTTAAGTAATTATGTTAAAAATATGAGATTAATTGTACTTTGCTCATATTAAATCTATCCAAATTTGACTCTAACAACCCGTTTGGATTGATTGGTTTGGGAAAAAAAAAGAAAAGAAATATATTTTCTTAGTTCATATCACCCGTTTGGATAAATAAAAAAGAGATAAATGAATTGAAGTGGGAAGAAACGGTTTTTCATTTATTTCATGACCTCTATTTTGAATCTCTCTAAAATTGGAGAGATTGAGAGAAAAATAAACTAACTAAATATTATATCGTTAGAGCATCTCCAATGGAGATATTAAAATTATGTGTTAGTGTATTATATGATAAAAAGTAATAAAAATGAGGCTTAATTTTGTAGGTTAAAATTTATTAGTTTAGTGAGTGTGTGAGGTAACAATGAAGATGTTAAGATGTGAGTTAAAGTACGTTTTAAGGTGTGAAGTAAAGTATGTGCTATGATATGATCAAAAAAAAGTATGTGCTATGAAATATTGAAAAATGGTATGTGCTAAGAATAAAAAATAAAAAAATAAATGAAAAGATGTCAGTCGACCACCAACTATTACTTACTCTCTCTTCTATTAAACACTTTGCATAATGTGTCAAAGTAGCAAACCGGCCCCTACCTTTCCTCCTTCATCTTCCGTTTCTCTCTCCTCCTCATGCTCATAGAGACTGAGGCCTTGTTTGAGACATGTGTTTTTTAGTTAAAATATGAGATAAAAAAATTAATATATTTAAAATAATTTTTTAATTTTTTATGAAAAAATGTGTAACAAATAAAAAAAATTAACTTTTTAATATAAATTATAAACGTTTTAATTTTTTTAATAGCTTTTTAACTAAAACACTCACATGCTAAACGCGACCTGAGTTAACATATGACATTGAATGTCATTTTGGGAACATAGTAAAAAGCCACATTTTTGGACAAAATATCCAAAAACGTGGCTGCCAAAAACGCAACAAAATCCCTTTGGGAAGTGCCAAAAACGCAGTCCTAAAATTACAAATTAGGGCCTATGAAAAAAAAAATAAAAAAAAAAATCTCTTATGTTAGGTAAGGATATTTTGGTTATTTTAATTTGATTTGACACCATAAATAAATATTAAACTAAAAAGTAAAAAGTCAACTTTTTACCAACTTCCCAAATCATTTTCAAAAAAGCTAAAAAACTTGATAAAAAGCTAAAAATTATTTTTTTACCAACTTCCCAAAACAAATTTGTCCATTAACCCTACACAAATATGTCCATTGTAGCAACAAAAAGCCTTTTTCTTTCATTTTTGTTAACAACTGACATTAACCCACCCACTAACACAACTACTGTAGATGCTATTAGGCTATATTTGACATAAATTTTTTAGATTAAAATAGTCATCAAAAGACAAAATAAATTAAAAAGTCAATAAGATAAAATGTTACATCTAAATCATAATTATTTTATTTTTTTCTTACAAAAGTTAAAAAAATAAAAAGTTTATCTCAAACGAAACTTTTTAACCTCAGACTAAAATAATTAAAAAGTCAAAAACTCAACTCACATCCCAAACCAAGGCTTAGAATACCAAAATTATCCTTGAAAAAATGAAAAGATTGATACCTATAAAAGATTAATTTCTAATTCGTTTGTAAAGGGACTTTTTGGTTAAAAAATGAAGCGAATAAATTGAAAGTGTTTGAGAATTATTTTTTTGATTTTTTATTAAAAAAAAGTGTAAAAAATTTTATTTAAAAAGAAGAAGAAATTTTTAATTTTTTTTTGTATGATTATTAGTTTTGTGATATTTTAATAGCTTTTCGACTTACAATTGCCAGGCGCCTCTTTAATAATATAATATAATATCATTTTTTTTTCTTTTATATTATTTAACAAAATAAGATAGGGGAGAAAACATGATTTTTTTCTCTCCGATTTATCTAAACAAAAGGAAGAAAAATCATTATTTTTTCTTTTCCTTCCAATTCTCTCCTAGCTTACGTGATTATTTGTTTTCTTCTTTCTTATCAAACATAATTGTAGGGGTGCTAGCGTGACCGGTTGGGTCGGGTGACCTTTTATTTGTTATTCTTCTAAATTTAGGTAAATTAGCAAGTAGATGTGAATCGGTTTGGTGGTTGGGCTTTATTATTTTGAATAGTATTTTTTTTAACTACATTTTAGTCAATTTTTTACTATTTTGAGTCAAACTTTTTGATTCTTCATTTTTTATAATAAAAATAAGAGGGAATCACTTATCAGATGGAGTCAAAAAAAATTTTTTGAAAAAGTGATCAATATTATAAATATTAAAATTATAAATTTTTTCACTATTATGTAATATTTTTTTTAAAGTTTCTCTTGATTAATAATTTTCTCTAAAAATAAAGATCTAACTTTCATATTTCATAAATAGTAAATATAATATAATTACTAAATAAATTTTTTTTTAACACACAAAGTATAATATTATTTTCTTAGTAGTGTTAGAGGATTGAATGAGGTCAGCTAGTCTCTTATTCATCATTAATCTGAACTTAGACGAATTGAGAAAATATATATGTATACGCCTGTTCAAACCATTAAAATTATCTATTTTATAATACATTAATTCAAGCCATTTAATCTTGACGGATCGAGTGGATATTTGCCAACCCCCCACGGCATAAGGGAAATGTTTGATACCCTAAAAACACTTTCACAATTCTACCACAATAATATGTTATGTGATAAGTGTCAATTTTTAATTTATTATTCACCTAATAATTGAATGTCCTATTTGCTTGTCACCTCATTATAAATAAATTTATGGGTTAAATGGGTGAGTCTGTAGCATTATTTTAAAGAAAAATACTATATATTTTAAATTTTTTACTAAATAAATGATTAAATATCTCACATAAATATAAGGTTCATAAAATGTAAACCCTACATCTATATAAAATATTTAATCATTTATTTCGTAGAAAATTTAATACCTCAAACATTACTCATATTTTAACACATAAAATTGTACAATTCTCTAAGCAAAAATCAAATATATCCGGAGAGTAGGGAGCATCATCCGATTTGTCTATATAAATGCGTTATGCGTGTAAATTTTACACAATCATTTTCCCCTTTCAACATTTTTGTCATTTTTGTCGTGCTACGTCATTTCAACCCACAAAAAAAACCCTAATCAAAACCAAATCTATGAAGTTAAAGACCTGATTTAGAGAGAGAAACAGAGTAAGAGAGAGAGAGTGTGTGTGTCAAGGCTCATCAAGACTCCAAAAGATTTCACTATATAATGCCCTTGTTTTGTGCTAATTTTGCTATAAGAGTCCCACATGCCTTGATTCATAGTAGAAGGAGCAATTTCATTCCCAACCATGTAGCAAGTTCATTCCTTTTGTTCTTAGATAGCAAAAAAAGTATAGGATCTTCAAAACCCATTGTTTCTCTGTCAAAATTTAATCAAACCCATCTTTGTTCTTCAACAATGGAGGATCAGAACCAGTTGGTGTTGACTTCCTCAGAGCCAGAGAAGTACTCCAAAGAACTGGAAGTGGCTGTCAGAGCTGTGCAGATGGCATGTTTGCTGTGTCAGAGAGTACAAGACAGTTTGGTTTCTCAAACCAATGGTCAAGTCCAGTCCAAGGATGACAATTCCCCAGTTACAATTGCAGGTAATTTACTTGTTTCTTCTTCTTCTTCTTCCTCTTTTTTTAATTTTTTTTTTTTTTTTTTGTGTGTGTTTGGGTTTTGCTTGAAGTGTCTTGCTAAGAGGGATTATTTTCTTTCATGTTTGAAAGCGCAAGACAATCACCAATTTCAAAATACACAATACTTTGGGTAAATTACATTGACATCTCTTGTGTTTGGAAAAAAATATAATAAATTCCATAATTTTAATATGATTACATTGAGAAGGTTAAATCTGTCGGAATTAATATAGGTGGTGTGAAAATAAACAAGTCAAGTATTTTTGTCTAAAGACTAAATCAATTTGCTATCCATATGACTATTGATGGAGAGAAGAGGAATTAAGTTTATGTGAATTAAAACCGTAAGGAGCTTAATATAATTATACTAAAATTGTGGAACTTTATGTATTTTTTTTCTTCTAATCTCAAGGATGTCAAATACTACTTTTCATTGATTTCAAAACTTTTTTTTAAAACATTTTTACTACTATTTTCAAATACATTTTACACATTCTAATATCAAACACTGCCCAATGCCCCAAGGTCACTTGTTTTGAATTGGGTTAGGCCATCTTTTTTTTTCTTTTTTCTTGGAACATCAAAAAAGATGCTCGGTGGGGACATCATAGCATCCGTGGGCCTTGACGTTGCCAGCCAGGTTTAACCCAACCCAAAGACAGGACCAGCACCCGGGCAAACGGGGAATGCACCAACTCTCAGTGCAAGTGGCAGAGTCACAATCAGAGTACAATACAGTTAGCTTCAACCAATTAAGGGAAACGCTAGTTGTGCCCCCACGAGTAGAGCCTTGCTCACCTGTGTGGAAGGAAGGCACGCCCTGGTGGTAATTGGGTTAGGCCATTTCCAGCTTTGAGCAATGGACAGACTTAAATTTAAGTAAAAATTTTAGTGAAAGTTTCACTAATGGCAGAGTGTTAAATTTGAGAGCCACACAATAGTTTTGAAATTTTTTAGTAAACATTTGAGTCCCTTGATTTGGGTAAAAATTTGAATAAAAGGTAAGGTGAAGGAGTGGAGTGGAGTGTGTTTTGAGTGATTTTTATCCCAATTTAAATTTGATATAGCTTTGAGTCAAGGATTAAAGATGCGCTTACTGTTTGATGGTTGAATTCAACTTTAAATTTTTGTGGGCAACTTTAAAATCTTTGTAGAATCTGTTCATTCATTTAGGTTTGGGTTTAGGAGTTGCAAAATGAAGTACTATTATTGGTTTTGTAGTAGAATGATTTATGTCACATAAGTTTGGAGTGATGTAGTTGAATTTTGAATTGTGTATGAGAATAAGCAAAAAAGACTTGTTTGTGTTGTTCCTAATTTAATCTTGTATTTTTAGATTGGATCACAGATTCATAGGATTTGATTTTTAATTAGATTATGGAGAGGAGTCATAAAATTGAGTGGGTAGCAAGGAATCCATAATTAGGTGTTAAGGTTTTACCACTCTTTAACATTAAAACTATCATCGTTTATGCAAACATTTCTTTCTTCCCAAAAAATAAATAAAAATAAAATACTGTATATCATCAATCTCAAGCCAATCTAGTACTCAGTTTTGCTGGAGATGTTGTCATTAATCAAAGAACATCAGAATTGCAGTTATACATGAGTGTGTGCCTCTTCATATTTTATCATAGCTAGAAAAGGCTGTGATGTCAATTGCTCTTATTGAGAACATACACTTGATAAACAGTGCCCTGCAATACGTAGATGATTGATTTTAGTTCATCAGTATTATTAGATAAGTTCCATAATTCTTTTATTTTTCTGAAGTGAAAAGTTAGCTCACTGCGGTGACTGCTTTTGGAGGTCTTTAGAACTTTTTTCAACTTTGAATTTGAAATACTGAAATTAGCACGAACGTAAAGGAGTTGAATCAGATGAAATTTTGATGTCTTTGAGTGGTCATAGGTGTAAAGGATGTTTTGAAGTTATAGTCTACTATTAAGAAACAAAGATGTGGTTGCAATCATGGAAAAGTGAACCAAGTACTTTAAATTGACTAAACCCCACTATTTTACCAGGCTTAAAATTCAAAATTTAATATTTTCTAAATATGAAACGAAATTAGAAACATTCTTGACATGTATTATCCCTTTCTTTTCTTTTTTTAAGGATTTACTCAGAAAATGCTTCAAAAGGAGATGCAACAGCTTCAGCAGAATCCAGAAATAGCTCCAAGTTAGAGGCAACTATAGAATATAGCCAAGAAAGAACTTGTCAATTTGTACGAATGGTCCCCTGAACGTCCTTCTCCCAAATCATCAGCATAACACCTAAAGGTAGCTAAAACTGATGTCTTCCTCTTCCTTTTTCCCACCCCACCTCCCTCCGAACTCCTCTCACCAAACCACAATGTATTAGGAGATTTGAGCCATACACTCACAATATTGGCATGTAGCATCTTTTAGGACTTCAATGATTGGTGTATCAACGTGGATCATTTTGTTTCCTATGGGATATAAGTTCCTTACTGAACATATGATATTTTACCCACTAACCAGTAAAAACACATGTTACACTTTTAGTAGATAACGATAGACAATGTTCTACTCCTAATAAAATTTGCGACAGGCTAAGTATCTTGATGCTGCATGAGAATATTTTCTGTGAATTAGTTACTCTGCAATTGCTGCGCCAAACTTCCCCACATTGCAGAAGGAAATAAAAATAAAAATAAAAAGAGGAAGAAGAACAAGAACAAGAACAAGAAAAACTATAAACACACACAGAAAGTTTGCATAGAGTTACAATCAATGCAAAACCTTTGACATCCATATCTGACTCTCTATTATTTCATAAATGTATCTTTCCACTGCAAAAGGTTGATATTCATGTTACTACTTTCATGGATGAAGACATTAATTGCCAACTTTTATCCTTCGTGACTTGGTAAATCATCCCAGATTTTTAAATGAACACTGTTTTTTCTTTCCTTGGACATGTTACTTGAATTCTGCCTGCTTTCCTAACATCTTCAAAATACTGTGGTGCGTTTTAGTGGAGGTAGTCACATGACTTTCTAGGTATTAGGAGCATACTTAATTTGCTATTATATAGCTTAAATTACTCCTTTCTAGAGCTCAAATGGCATGCAGTTCATGATTGACACCGCACCTAGTTGTCTTCTCATTCTCTTGCTCACCTTCAGACTATAATATTAATGCCCACTCTACTAATTACATACCTTAGCTCTTGCAAACAGATCTGCTGAAGATTACTCTCTTATTGAATGTAAGCCTACTTGATTTATAATATATATTTATAAATGATTTACGAAGTTTAGTTTAAGGCTGGAAACATCTTTAGTTAAACAAAAAGTACACGAAAGCTTTGATTAGGCAGCCAAGTTGTTCTTGGAGCTCACTGCAATCCTTTGAGTCAATTTTGGGTTGCAATATGGTATATTTATTCATTCTGTTTCTTTATATGCTATATCCTTCTTGATGGTTTAGGATTTTCTGTATTTGGAATGTTGTCCTCTGGGCAACACAACAGTTAAACCCTATACCAGTTGAATTAGTTTTATTGAATAACATGGAACAATTTCATTGCTCACTAGATTGTCTAATTCTTTCAATCATACCATGTAAATAGATTGGAGTGTCCAAGCAACTGTCAGCTGGATACTGACCGAATATTTTGGAAGTGAAAATGTATCCATTATTGCTGAAGAAGATGTTCGATCACTCTCCAAAGCTGACTCGTCAGGCCTACTAGAAGCTGTGGTGAAGACAGTGAATAAATGTCTATCCAAAGCACCCCAATTCGGACATGAAGGTCCAATAAAGGATCTTGGAACTTCGGAGGTACTTGAGGCCATTAGTCGGTGCAACTCAACTGGGGGTCCCACTGGAAGATTTTGGGTGCTCGATCCCGTTGATGGCACATTAGGGTTCGTACGTGGTGATCAATATGCCATTGCTTTGGCATTAATAGAAGACGGAGAAGTTGTGCTCGGAGTTCTTGGGTGCCCTAACTACCCTATGAAGAAGGAATGGCTAAGTTATCAAAATGGCTACCGTAGAATTATGTCTAAGTTGACCCCTCCAACATCGGAATCTTGGGAAAAAGGTTGTGTGATTTATGCGAGGAGGGGTAGTGGCAAGGCTTGGATTCAGCCGTTACTCTCTGGTGACAAGAAGTTTTTGTGGCCAAACTCTGCAAGACAAATACAAGTTTCGTCCATTGATAACCCGGCATTCGCTACCTTTTGTGAACCGGTTGAGAAGGCAAATTCAAGCCATTCCTTCACAGCAGGATTAGCTCACAGTGTTGGGCTTAGGTAAATAACTTTTATAGCTCCTTGTTTTTGATGACCGGGAACCTATGTTGCATGGACTCAGGAATGGGTGTCCAATGCGGATACGTATCTAGAGATTGGATCCATTAAACCTCAAATTTAAGGTTACACGGACTCTGCAAAAACTGATCATATTTATACATTTTAACTTTTATGTGAGATAAAATGGTATTTATAGGTAACATTTAGCGTCAAAAAGGTATTTTACTCATTTTATAATAATTATACAATAATATAAAAATAAAATGACAGTATTAAATACAAATATATGTGTCCAATGGAAAGTATCGAACGCGTATCCCACACCTTTATCCAAGTGCCAGGTGTCCGGCGCGAGTATTTAGGGCCCTCTGGACCCACTCCTGCTGGGTAAAACACGGATGTATGCCAGTGTCCCCACAAGCGTACATCTGGCAAAGTCTCGGGACTTGCTGCTCCATTGGAAGAAGTCTCACCTCTGAGCTACACCTGTGGGGCTCTTTTGTTTTCTTCAAAACTTTGATCTGGACTTTCGGTTATGATTACCAAGATGAATGGCTCCATGGTCAAAATCGGGTTCACAAATACTTCTTACCTATCTTTCCCAAGTATTTAAATTTTATCTATACATTATTTTCCCCAATCAATACTTTAGCTGACGTCTACAAGTTAATTAGCAGTTTGAAAAAAAAAAAAAAACAGGAGGGAAGGAAAGCGAAACAACAATTGGGATTGATATGCATTCATTTTTTGAGAAAAAACAGATAAGCACAGATAGCATAATTTGATTATGCAGAATGTTGACATGTCATGTTTCAACTGCAGGAACCAACCGTTACGTGTGTACAGCATGGTGAAATATGCAGCCATAGCGCGTGGGCACGCGGAGGTTTTCATGAAATTTGCTAGGGCAGGCTACAAGGAGAAGATATGGGATCATGCAGCTGGTGTAGTTATTATTCAAGAGGCTGGTGGTGTAGTAACTGATGCTGGAGGGCGGCCACTGGATTTCTCTGGAGGTACATATTTAGAAGGTCTTGATCGGGGTGTTATTGCTTGTTCTGGAGCCAAACTACACGAGAAGATCATCAGGGCTGTTGATGCTAGCTGGAACTCCTCTAGCCTATGATGTTTGCAGTTTATACCCTCATATCAGATCATCTGATCTTGAGATGGTAAATAATCTGTAATTTTTTCCGTCTCTAAATTATGTTTTAACAGAATCTCAGAAACTATCCTGCTTTATAAATATCAATACATTTTATTTTATTTTTTCTCAAAGAAAATGATAATTGTTGCTTGAATACTATTAAGGCATTATATTGTTTTGCTGGGCGGCCCTGAGTTTTCGAGGGCTCAAAGTGAAACCCTAATATCGGGCCCTTCATATATTCACCAAAAAAAAAAAAATTCCTTTCATATATAACTACAAAAATTGCATACTAAAATTTACCTACATAGATAGCAAAATCCTGTTTACATTAAAGGAAAAATACCAAAACGATCTAAAACTTTAATACCAAATAAAATTTGAACAAATTGTGACGAAATATCACTGAAACATCTAATCTCCGTGCATGTTTGATTGCAAAATTACTAACTAAACTTGCGTAATCTAACTCATCTACCCTATTCTTCTTAATGGATAATGTTGCTAAACCGTTCACTTTTTTTTTCGCTTTTGATCAATTTCAACTTTGAAAATTTTCTCAACAATTGTAACCCTTTGCTGTGATTTGGGCCGATATTTGTTTAAGGTCTAATAAGTAATAAAAATATTTTTAGAGCTAGGCAGCAGCCTTGCCCGCCTATGCCTAGGGCCAACCCTGTTGTTTTTTTGATATGTATAGCATTTAGAGGAGTGGACAATTGTACTCTCTTTCGGATTCGGGAAAAAACACTCAGAGATCTATTTTCCTTTTGGAAGATATGTTTGGTAGTCTTTGTTTATGCATCAATGACAGTAACAGACAAGTGGGGAACTCGGGTTCAAACTTTGAGTGTTAGATGAGTAATCTCTAAGAAGAATCACAACAATTTATACTTCACTGCCACCTGTTTGCGATTTTTTTTTTAAAAAAAATTTATTTATTATTATTATTATTATTTTTTTTGAACTAACCTATTTGCTAATTGGATATCCCTTTTATCACTTGCTCTAAATTGCAGGGTGAAGTCACCGGTAATGTTTCACGGTCCCTATTTGATGATACCAAGGATTGTGTTTTTTAACTACATACAAGAACATGCAAATGCGCAACTATACTGAAAAAGAGTTGGGGTTCTTCTGGGGAAAGTACCTGGTTTCTTTTTTCCTTCTTGCTCGTGATCATTGTTAGTTTGAGAGGTTTATGATTCTTGAAAACTGTTATATATACTGCTGCAGTAATGTTTACATTCAGTTGGTATATATCAATATACACCTTATACAATTGTTCAAATAGACAGTCAATTGTATGAGTCCTAATTTATTGATATACAACTTGAACTGTTCAGCCTTTGAAGATTCATTAGTATCCCATCTTTTTTTTTTTTTTTTGATAACTCAAGGTGTCCAGGCCAGCTTGCGTACACCTCAACGAATTTCTGAGAAATCAATCCCACCGTCCACTAGCGCACTGTCCACTAACGGGGAGCCGATTTAAAGTCAGAACAAAACTCCGTATGAATTGACCCAACACAAGGATTGATAGCACCTAAGAAGTTTTGAACCTGAGATCTAGAGAGAAGCAAACTCCTAAGTCTGAAAATGGCTACAAGTGAAGGTTTTTTGTTTTTGTTTTTTTGTTTCATAACTCAGTATCCGGCATAAGGACCAACTTATCTGGGAACCAATCACACTGTCCACTAGCTGAGAGAGAGTATTGGGGAAGCATAAGTAGAAAAAGGCTATAAGGGAATGTATATGGCCGTATGGACCAACTAATTCGGGAGACCAATCCCACCATCCACTAGCGGGGAGCCGATTTAAAGCCAGAACAAAACTCCGTATGAATTGACCCAACACAAGGATTGATAGCACTTAAGAAGTTTTGAACCTGAGATCTAGAGAGAAGCAAACTCCTAAGCCTCAAAACCCTTAGGGTTTCATTAGTATCCCAACTTCATCTTTTGGATTATGTTGAAAACCCTTAAAAGTTTTAAATTGATGATATCCACAAAATCCATTCTAACTTCATCAAAGATGAACATAAACCATTTTGTGTGGATTCAAAACTGGTTGAACTTCTGACCGGTGTTAAGGAGCCATGTGCCCTTTTGGTGGTGCATCATGACACATGGTGGCCCACACCCTTTCACTTTGAGACATAATTCAACTCATAAAAATTCAAAATTTGTTGGGGAAGATATTTATTATTATTTAAGAGTGTTTTGAGAAGATGGTTAAAAACTATTTTTTGATTTTTTTTGTGAGAGAAGAAAATAGATTAAAAGTTGAGAAGTGACTTTTAACCTACTTCTCAGAATAGACGGTTTAATCCCCTTTGTGATTTGGGCAATTTGCACTTCATCACTGTCCTTTAATAGTAGGTAATTTTGACTGTTCTGTACTTTCCTTCATTATGTTATAAAAATCCATCCGAACTAACGGAAACTTGTCAATGTGTGCCTTCGAATGGAGTAGACGTGAAAAAAAACTTAATCAAAAGTCAAATTTTTTGAAGTAAAAAACCAAAAATACCTTTTATTCATCTTCTTCATCCAAAACGTCAAATTATGAGACAAACATAACTCAAATAAATTAAACTATTGCGAATTAGGGGAAGAGAGTGGTTTACAATTTTCAAGTTGTAAGAAGTTGCACCAAACGTGCCCTTAGAATTTAGATTACTAATTTGCACACCTTGTTTTCCAACAAGTAGATGCGCCCTTGAGCAATCAACTGCAATGTCAAGAGCATGCATTTACTGCACTTGACAGGCAATGGATAGAACAAGCTTGTTTTTTACTTGCCAATACTTTTTCTTTTTCTTTTTCTTTTTTGTTTTTTGTTTTTTGCTTTTTGCTTTGTTATTTTTTTTGTGTTTTTGGGTTTTTTGTGAAAAGGATTATTTGCTTGTATGGATACAGAGAACATTGATGGGGATTGAACAAGCTTACTAAAATGTCAAATTTAGATCAGTGGTCGGCCCGCCCTTTTTAATGCGTGTGGTTAGTTCTATTGTCAATTGACTTTCTTTGGTGGCTTACTTGCCTACTTGTTTTCTATGCCAAGAAAAAACAAAAAAAAAAACAAAAAACTCAGGGACTTTAAAATGCTTTTACCAAACAAGGTGCAAACTTGTTATGAAGTTCTTTACATTTGCCTTGAAGCCAAATCTTCAAAGTAGATTATCAAATAACCATTAAATTAGGCAAACTTGTTTCACAAAAAACAATCCTGCATTACTAAATAGTTGACACGAAGTTCATTGCAAACACCAAAAACAATCCCACATTACTACTGTGTTCACCCTCTCTTCTTGGATGTGCCTCTATTGGCTGGTGCTAGCCTTTTCAGTCTTGAGGCTTAAGTGATAGAGGTTGTAGCAGAAGGTGGTGTTTGTCTTATAAGCATTGGAGCTTGACTCGCAAAAGTTGCAGTAGTAGGTGGTGGCCTCCTTAGCATTGGCCTTTAACTTCCAAAAGTTGCAGCAGCAGGTGGTGATTTCCAAACCCTAACCTCTCTAACGGGTAACACCCAATTTCCCTCATTTTTGTTACCCCAATTCGCCTCACGTGTATGGCACATGCGGTTAAGGATGAAATGTCCATTTTGGCCTTCGTAGCAGCCTTTTGTATCACGTAGAATGCACGTGCAACGCTATTCTGTTAATGATTTGGACGGCAGACACAAATTGGATTTGACAGACATACTTTCTTAAAGTTTAGGGACTACAAAAACACAATCAATAGTTAAGAGACCAAATAGACAAAATGCGTATAATTTAGGGGGTAAAAGTGTAATTAACCCATAGACAAATGGGGAGCTCGGGTTCAAATTTTGAGTGTTAGACGAGTAATCTCTGAGAAAAATCACAACAATTTATACTTTACTGCCCCCTATATGCTTTTTTTTTTTTTTTTTTGAACTAACCTATTTGCTAATTGGATATCCCATTTATCACTTGCTCCAAATTGCAGGGTAAAGTCACCGGTAATGTTTCATAGTCCTTTACGCTTAAGGGGGAGTTGGATTCAGTGCATTTAGTTTCAGTTTTCTAAATTCAATTTTTTTAAAAATTTAAGTTTTGTATTTTTTTTGTTTTAGTGAATATTTTTAAAATTTTAAACATTTTTTTTTATTTTTTCAGATTCACCTTACTTAGATGTATCTAAAAAGTAAAATATTTGTGAAAAATATTTTTAAAAAAATTAATAAATACACAAAAATACGAAAAATACACTGCACTTTCATATTTTTTTTTGTATTTTTGGTATTTAGTGAATTTTTTAAAGATTTTTTTTACGAAAATTATACTTTTTAAGTGTATTTATATTAGGTGTGTCTAAAAATTAAAAAAATTGCTTAAAATATTTAAAAAATTCAATAAAAACAAAAAAAATACGAAAAAAAAGTAGAATTTTCTAAAAAGTGTTTTCAAAAAACTGGAAACAAACATAGTGTAGTATTCCTCACTATTTAAAGATTGATACCAAGGATTGAGTTTTTTAATTGCATACAAGAACATCCAAATGCGCGACTATATTGAAAAAGAGTTAGGGTTCTTCTGGGAAAAGTACCTGGTTTCTTTTTTCCTTCTTGCTCGCAATCATTATCAGTTTGAGAGGTTTATGATTCTTGAAAACTGTTATATATACTGCTGTAGTAATGTTACATTCAATTGGTATATATCAATATATTGTTGGAGAATTTTCAAATTTATAGTTTATTTTTTAGTATTTTCAAAACCTTCCATGTTTTTCTTTGGAAAGTATGAAAAAAACTTGGGCTTTGTCCCACATCGGAAAGAGAGGAAAACAGAGAGAACTTAATAAAGTGCTACATGAAATATTCCTTTGAATATGGAATTAGGAGGTAAAAGCTAGTGTGCATGCATCCACACAGCAACACGCACACGCGTGGGTGGGCAGTGGGTTGTGTGCCGTTTGATGGCGCACTTTGCACTTAGCATTGGCGCCATAAGGGCGCTTTCCTATTTGCATCAGACAAGTTGGAGCGATGACGTGGATCCAACATGGCATGGGTGACGTGGAATACAGTCAGCTCTACGTGGTAGTGACGTGTCGTCCGTTGGCGATGAGTCAACCAACCGATCAAATGGTTGTGTATCCGATCTGGAGCGAGTTGATCATAATCGTTGATTGGAGATGCGTGCTATCGTACGGATGAGATGGCACCCGATCGTGATCAGGTGTGATTAGTCAAGTCGTCTATTCGGTGTGAGAATTATCTACACCGTAGATCGTCGATCCAACGATCAGATCTGATTGGATGCGATCAAGGGACATGACCATTCGATCAGGTGCATCAAGGCCTATAAATAGGTTGCAAAATCAGCAATTTCATTCCATTCAAAAAATTTAAAATTCATTCCTGCAATTCTCCCTCTCTCTCTCTCTCTTTCTCTCTCTCACTCTCTCCCTCTTGATTTAGAGTTTTCAGTCAAGAGTTTCTTGAGAAAATTTCTGCTTTTCTTACTGGTAATCAAGCTCTGCAGATTTGATTATCAATGTCTTGGTTTTCTTGATTATATCAAGAGTATTTTGATCTACTGTCATCAGTGCAAACGCCGGTAGATTTGATCTTTAGATCAGGCTTCAATGTATCTTGAAGGCGAATTTGCTATAACTCTCTGCACACCTTTTGATGGGTGTAAATATTGTCTTTAGGAAAGCGACTTGGTAACGCGACTTGAAGCACCAAATTTCTGTCCTACATAGTCAAGATCATCACCAAGTTTTGAAGACCCAAAGACCATCAACTGAAGAATTCAAGATCATTTGTTCCAACAACCTAAAGACAATATTTAGATATGGCAATGTTTATTTAGAAAATGGTTTAAGATTTCATGAAGCTTGACCGGTTTGATGGCGGCAATTTCCGTCACTGGCAAAAGAAGATGCATTTTTTGCTCACCACTCTCAAAGTAGTCTATATGGTGACTACCCCCTATCCGATGGAGCAAGAAGATGAGACTATGGAGCAAACCCATACCAAAACCAAATGGGAGAATGACGTCTATATTTGCCGAGGACACATTTTGAATGCGCTGTCAGACTCTCCGTTCAATGTGTATCAACATCTAGAAACGGCAAAGCAACTCTGGGACATACTATAGTCAAAGTACCTCACTGAGGATGCCACCAGTAAGAAATTTCTTGTTAGTAATTTTATACGTTTTACTATGATTGATACAAAGCCCATTATGGAACAATTCCATGAGATCCAATATATTCTGAGTCAATTTCAACAAAAGAATATGAACATGGATGAATCTATTGTAGTTTCGTCTATAATAGAGAAATTGCCATCTTCTTGGAAGGATTTTAAGAAAACTCT